CTTCCACATGAGGTCACGCGGGTCTACACTCCTCTTGCGGCCGTAAGTCTTCTCCTTTGTGGCTCTTGAGACCATGCAGGTTCAGTTCATTCACATTTTTGATTAATGGCTCTTCCCCCCGCCCCCTCCCCCACTAAATTGTAATCTCCATGACAGCAGGGTCAACATCTCTTCCTGCTCGCCTCTATTTATTTCTATGACCCACAGCATGGCGTATTCTAGGTGCTCAGCAAATACTTGTTGAATGAGTTCATGAACAAGGTGCCAAAAGAGGCAAACTGAGATTGGGCACCTGCAGAGTTGTTGAGGTGGGTCCCACCCTCCACCCAGATTAGGGGTGGGCTCTGCCTTTCTCTTCCCAAACACATGAGGAGGCAGGGTTGGGACCACAGGGAGAGACAGGTTAGCTAATACACAGGCCACCTACCCAGGCAGGAGCACTGCACACGGAGCCAGGCTCCGCAAGCTGCCCATTTGTGTGTGCCTCCTGGAACAAGATGCTGAGACACACTGCTATTTGTACAGAGATTTCTCCTCATTGTTTCCTTTGATGCTCACAGTGACCAACCTAAAAGGCAGGCAACTGTCGACACCATTATATAAGAAATGGGAGACGCAGAGCCTTGCCCACAGTTGCACATCTAGGGAACTTCAAATATGACATGGAGGCCAGGGACCTACAATCCTGCATGAACTCTGACCACAAGGCCTGTATTTTAAGGGTAAACACCTCAAGGAGGACTTCTTCCAAACTTACCCCTTCATGTCATCAAACATAATGTCACAATGTGCTAAACAAAGGCACTCAAGGAAACAATGTATTATTGGTTTTTATTTTAGTTGAGTTAGCATCTGGCTTGAACTGAATTTATTTGTATTTGTGTATTTGTGTTGGGAAGGCCAGGGAGGAAAAGAGGGATACTTGGATTTCATTGCAGTGCAGCTGAAAATTTTGTCTTTGCATTTGGAATTGATCAATCAATTCCGATTTCTTCTCATTTTTGAATCTTGCTGGTTGAACTCAAAACTCCGCCATTCAGGGGCACCTGGGTGGCCCAGTTGGTTAAGCATCCAACTTTGGCCCAGGTCTGATCTCACCGTTTGTGAGTTCGAGTCTGCGTTGGATTCTGTGTGGGCAGCTTGGAGCCTGGAGCCGGTTTCAGATTCTGTGTCTCCCTCTCTCTCTCTGCCCCTCCCCGACTTGCACTGTTTGTCTTTCTCTCAAAAATAAATAAAACATTAGAAAAAAACCCCCAAACTCCACCATTCAGAAAAAGCTCAGACTATAGATCCAGGGCCTCCCTTTCATCTCAGCCCTGAGATATCTGGACAAATCACTTAATACCTGACTGCTTCTCCTTAGAGTACAGAGTTCACACCGTGTCCTTGGAATTGGCATTTTATCTGCATGCCTTTCAAAAACAAACAAGGGCACCTGGGTGGCTCAGTCAGTTGAGCGTCTGACTCTGGCTCAGGTCATGATCTCGCAGTTCCTGGGTTCCAGCCCTGCATCTGGCTCACTGCTGTCAGCATAGAGCCTGCTTTGGATCCTCTGTTTCCCAATCTGTCTCTGCCCCTCCCCCGCTTTCTCTCTCTCTCTCAAACTAAACTTTATGAAACAAGAAAATAAAAAATAAATTAAAAAAGCAAAAAACTCGACTCTCCCACAACGGTGAGTCAGGCTATGTGACAACCCACACTGAGGTTTAAAGAAGTTACTGGAAGGAGTGATTATGATGACCCCAGGGGTGGACCAGGGTGCTTTCTCTGTTCCTCAAACGTGGTGGGAAACTCCCTTAGCCTTCCTTCAACAGCCCTCTGGCGCAGCCACCGCCACACATCGGGCACTTGCTGTGAGCCCCTCACAAGGCTCTTGGCTTGACCTGTGTCACCGCCTTGTCCTCGCAATCTCTGCAGGGACAAGAACCCCATCTGTGCTGCGGACCACTCGCCGGGGGCTTGGCAGAGTGAAGGAACCTGCCCCAGTCCGGCCGTGCAGCTAGTAGGCGGCAGCCGTGGGATTCATAACCTGGAAGGGCCCACTTTTAGCCGGAAGTCATGAAGAGAAAAGAAAACCAATGGGCAGGGCCATCTTGGAAGCCATGGACACAGCCTTCATTACACATGGAAGAGAGATGCTGTCTGAACCCAGACTCCCTCCCGGGGAAGGAAAGTAGACATTCCTGTTGTGTCGGAATGATTAACTGGGGGGTGATTATTGCAGCAGCTAGCACTTGCTGGGCTCCCCACACAGACACCCCACCCGGCTCTGCAGGCTTCCTGAGAAGACCCAGCGCAGGCAGGTGCTGGAGGATAAGCAGGTGTCAAAGAGGCAAGCCGTGAGGGGACCATCTCGGGTCTGGCCTCTCTCGGCAAGCTGGAGGCAGAAGCAGCGGTAGCCGGGGGAGTGCAGTGGGAGACCGCCTTCCCTGCTGGGCCTCCCATGTCCACCTTCCAGGCCCTCAGCAAGAGGCAGAGCCAGCCTCCCACCTGGGGTTGAGTGAGCCAGAGGTGGGGGGAGAGGGTCTTGAAGGTGAGTGAGAGAACACGGAGAGAGCGACACCGCACATGCGCTCACATCGTGGCCTTAACTCTTTGCTTTACAGTCATAAAACCCACCCCTAGATCACACTGAAAACCACTGAGAACTTTGGGAAGAGCTCCTGCCAGCTCGCTCGGCTCCCCATTCTGGCCAGACATCGCCCCTCCATCCTGAGTGAGAGCCTTGCCCCCACCCATGACACCGCTCTGATTTCCAAGCAAATGTCCTCCCCATGCATGGTGCCAACCATTCTGCTGTCTCAGGTGACCTTGCCGGCGCCGACAGAATGTTCTGGGGCCTCCATCTGCAGCTGTGTGAAGACCCAGGTCTTCGTGTTCATCCCGGCGGGAGGGCGAAGGCTCCTTTCGCCTTACGTTTTGCGGGAGCCCCTTTCCCTTAGTGTTCAGATTTGCCATATGCTCTTCCCCAGGTCCCTGGTGATAAAACACCCGCATCCCCTGGATTCCCTGCCCTCCGCCCCCTGCCCCTGAATCAACAACAGCTCATTTGTAAGAAGTTTTTAATTTCATCTCGGTACGCCATTACGAGTGGAGGAGGAATCTCTATTTGTCTCACTCACATAGTATCGGCTACACTCTCCGACGGGTCTCTACAGAAGCCTGCGGCGGCGCCCGGCATCGGCAGGACTCCTAGTTGCCAGACTGGTTGGGGTTTCTTGGTGGTTTGCATAAATTATAAACAAAAGCACACACACAAAAAATCACACAACATAGACTCTACCGGAAGGGAGTGTGTTCCCTCTGGCTTTGCAGAGAGTGAAGGGGACAAGTCTCTGTGTCCAAGGCTCTTAAGACCTGGGACGTCGTCAGGAGCGAGGCCGAGCCTGAACCGCCGCTCTCAGAGGAGTCCGGGCTGACCCCCTCCGTCTTCCACATCATCTCGTCTGCTTTGTCAGGAGGCATCCTGGCACAGAAGTAGCTGACCCTAGCACCGCACTTGGAGATCAGGGTGGGAAGCGTCCCTGTATACAGTGGCAGCTGGGTCTTCTGTGCTCAGACTCCGAAAAACCAGACAAAGGGGGGAACCCTGGGTTTCCATCTGGACCTCCCCCCCCCACCCCCGCCGCCTCTAAGAGTTCCAGAAGGCTGCTTAAGAAATAGACTCTAGAACAGAGGCCAGCAACATTTTATGACAAGAGCCAGACAGCATTGGTAGTAAATATTTCAGGCTTTCTAGGCCACATACACTCTGTCACGTCGTTTTTCTTTTTAAACAATCCTTTAAAAACGTAAAAGCCATTCTTAGCTGGCAGGCCATAAAACACAGGCCTGCCGGCCGGGCTCTGCCAAACCTCCATTCTAGAACACCACGATGCCCCCCTCCATCCACTCAGCAATAGCCTCCTCCCCATGGAAGGACTCCGGCATCCCCCTGAGCTGCCCTCAGCTGGTGTCTCCAGCCAGGCTTTGCAGAAGGGACCACAGCAGGGAGAGTTACCCCCGAGTTCGGGGTACAGGCAGCCCCAAGTAGCCTCTTTTGCCAAGTGAGACCGGTCTGGTATTTTAAACAAATATAGGACATTGGTTTCAGCCCAGCTCATGTGTCCTGGGGGTGAATTAAGCCTCAGGGTCCCCCAGTGAGGTAGGTACATACTGTCTGTCTCATCCCACACCCGCAGGTGCTGAAGTTCAAGAGCAGAACTGACCTTCCTACTGCTGCCCGCACTGTGTGTCAGAATTTAAAAGAAAGCTGAAGAGCCTCGGCTTGATCTTGTCTAAGAACGTGATCGAGGATTTTTCTGTTCCACCCGAGCTCTGTGATTCAGCCCCAAAGAGAGCAAGAATCCGTGAGAGAATACGGCCAGCCACACGAGCTGCTTTCCAGACCCCATGATGCTCTTGAAAACAGAATTAAGTCGAGCACTCAAAGCTACGGGCCCAGGTGGAGAGTGGCCCTCTGCCCTGCGACCAGTCTCTTCCAACTAAAAATAAAGTTTATAAAAGTAAATTATCTCATTTTATAACTTAAGTGCATCAAGCATTTCCTTAAATATAGTTCACATGGAAAATAAAGTTACTTTTGCTGTACAGTTGGTGTCTGTTATAATTAGGAATAAACTTTTTTGATAACGTATGGAAGGTTACACACTCACACACACATCTATCTGTCCGTCTGTCTGTCTATGGGTATATGGATGGGTAGACATACGCACCTCTTGACAAGAGCTTCCCCAAAATGGTGGGAAGTTGTTAGGAGTCTCTGGGTACCTAGTTTGCATGAGAAGGTCTATATTAAAAGTCCCTGTCCTTAACAATAAACACGTCTTCATATCTAAGCTAAGACTCTTATTGGAAACATGAAGCTACGCAATCATTGTATATTCAGTCTTTGGAAATGCCGAGCTACATCAGGTCATCATATAACAGCATCCCCGACAAAACTCCCTCCCCACCCCACCTCTTCCCTGGCCTCCCCGTCCTACAGCCGGCCAACCCTTCCCATCACAGGGTTGCTCCGTGTGGGAGCCCAGCCACAGAACTCGAGGGGAAGGCTCAAGAGGTAAAGTAAGAATTCTGCATGGAGTACAGGTGGTCGATGGGGTTTCCCACTCTGGACTGCAGGGGCCCGGCTTCTGAGGTTGCTAGGAAACAGTCACCCAGGTTACTGAGGGAGGTGTCGTCACTATCCAGGTCATGAAAAAGGGGCTCGGCACCTGAAATGAAGACGAAATAGCCGTGAGGGTCCAGAAGCACTTCGGTGTTAGAAAGTGCAGCAATTGCAGTGAGCGTGACCTGAGCACAGCCGCCCCACCCCCACCCCCGTGTAGTGGGTGCTGAGGAGGGGGTGAGGGAGAGCTACGTAGTAGAGTAGGAGGGAGGTAATCCCCATCCACAGAAGATCTCCCATGTCCTTAGGGGCTCGGGCGGAAAGCACAATGACTGAAAGCAGTGGAAACTAGGAGGTGACAAAGTGCAAGTTGGATGCAGCATAAGAAGACGGCACAATGTCTACAGTGAGGCTGGGGAGCAGGCAGGATGTAGCATCGCCAGCTAGATAGGCGGGGGCAGGGCTGTAGAGGACTGGCCCCCAAAATGGGCTTGAAGGACGACTGGTAAGAAGATAGACATCAGTGCTGTTGGAAGAGGCTCATGAGACCTTGGTGGAAATAGGTCCCCTCAAACAGCAAGGTTATACTGAGTGCCTGCTGCCTCTCCCAATGAGCCCTGCAGAGGAGACGAGCTTAGGTGCCTGCCCTGGACTAACTGACACCCTGGACAGAGAAGATAGTAGGGCAAACTGTGGAACAGCTCAGGGATCTTCATGACAAGAACCTAGAGGTATGTATGTTGTACCCTCTACACGTTTTACCTGCACGGATAGGTCTACGTATGTATGAATGAGGGGAGTTGGTCAGGGCAGCCACTGCAGACAGCCAGGTCTTAATCGGCGTCTGCTGTATGCAGCCCGTGGGAAGAGAGAATTTTTCTTTGTTGAAGCAGTTGTTTGACAAAATCCACGGGCTGAGCCATGTAGCTCTCACCCTGTTTTATTTTTTATTTTTTTTAATGTTTTTATTTATTTCTAGGAGAGAGAGAGACAGTGTGAGCAGGGGAGGGTCAGAGAGAGAGGGAGTCACAGACTGAAACAGGCTCCAGGCTCTGAGCTGGCAGTCAGCAAAGAGCCCGACGCGGGGCTCGAACCCACGAACCGTGAGATCATGACCTAAGCGAAAGTCGGACGCTTAACCGACTAAGCCACCCAGGCGCCCCGCTCTCACCCTGTTTTAAAGGCTTGCTGAATAAAACTCTAATTGTCACTATCAGTGTAACTGATCACAGATTACACAGAACAGATGCATTCCATAGGCCACTGACCTTCTCTGTGTAAAAATGGATTTGACCCTGAGATTGAACTTCAGACTTCCGCGCCAGAGCTCACCCACCCCATCAGGGTGCCCAGGCCCCAGCTGCTGTCCATCCAGCAAGCTGGATACTTGGGGAGGCTAAGCCATCCCAGCACTTGTTTCAGGAGTTCATTGAGAGCATCTAAACAGTATCAGTTCCATTAGAAAATGTGCTTTCTGTGCTTTCATATATTTTCTTTCTTTGTGTAAAAGTTTGCTTAACTAAGGCCTTTGGCCTACCTCCCTGCCAGCATTGCTTGCAAACATGTGGTACCTGGTGTGAAATGAAAGAAGGGAAATCTTATCACAGCGAATGGATTTACAATGAAACAACAACCTCCTACTTAAAACTAACAAGAATATTTGAAAAGGAGGCTCAGTGGGAACATCACTGATGACTGTGGGTGTTGGTCTTCCTTCTGTAGCCACTGGTTAGATGAGTCCAGTGGCATTTTCCAGGCACATATTCGGCTTGTAGCTTTGGTGAGCATCTGGGAACTCACACACGTTTGGAAGGGAAAGGAGACACCCACGCTAGCAGTTGTAAGCGGTCCCCGGGGGGCTGGGGTCCATCTTACCGTACGGGTGCATGTGGTCTCCCGGCATCTGAGGGGGGGTGAGGCCCTGCCGGAAGGGGTCTGAGCTGTAGACGCTCTGCTCGATGGCCAGGAGCTGCTGTGGGGGGGGCAGAGCCGTGTAGGGGTTCATGATCCCTTCCATCCCAGCATTCCCACCGCCATTTGTTTGAGCTGGGGGGCAAAGAAGAAGGCAGATCATTCTCCATGTGCTGCCCAGGAGGCCATGCTGGGCAAGAAGGCCAAGAGCATCTTCTGAACTTCATACCCCCCACTGCTCAGTACTTCTGTCCAGCACCGGCCTTTGCTGCAGCTTCATGAGGAGAAGAGAGTGAGAGAGGCTGGTGCATGTAAGACAGGGAGTCCCAGACTTGGAGTGTGACATGCTGTATCTGCCATCCCTTAATTGCCCCACTACACCGTCTTCTCCACCTGCTTGAGCACCCTCACAACATGGCGGCTGGCTTCCTCAGAGGGGCAGAATGGCCTTGAGGAAGTCAGAATCAGAGACTTGCTCCAGTCCCAAACCCCCCCACCCCCATTCCTCTAGGACTACAGTCAGCCCTGCAGTGCCCTTATTTGCTCATCAGTGAGATGGGGAGAAAGTACTTCTCTGTCCCCTGGGTGGGGGGGCTGTCAGACTCAGGTCAGCATGAGAGTGCTCTGTGATCCATAAACATGCCCAACGAGGCAGGGGGTTCCTGTTTTGCTAGCAGGGTTTTTACTATTCCATGTTATTTTGGAAAGGGGTGTCCTCTGTCGATTGATTTGCCAGGAAGGAGGAGGATCTGGGTGCGTCCAGGGCTCTGTGGGGAGTCCGGCCACAGTCCTGGGGGCTCTGCACATGGTCAGCATCACAGGCCTCAGCTCAGTGCCCTCAACCCTCTCCAGATCCCTGGGGCTCGGTCCCCACTGGACGAGCCACCCTCCTTGGTGTGGATAGGGCTTCACTAGCCCAGAAGTACGTTCAAAGAGCCAGGCGGTGGGCAAGGCCTGGGCGCCGATGGGCCCGGCTGGGGGGGGGATGCAGGGCGGGAGGGGGTGCGGTGGGGGGGGCCTTACCGGAACTCAGCCTCTGGGTGTTCTGCTGGTCTTGCTGCTGCTGCTGCCGCCGGGCCAGCTTCTTCATCTGGTGGGGAGAGGGTTAGAGTCAGGGGGTGGGCTGGCCTCATGCGCAAAGCACAGGGACAGGTTGCAGGACATCCCGCGCTCTGACTCAATCGGGGAGCCGTGCCGGAGGGACCCCACGTTTGCCCAGGGCCACTGCGGACTCTGAGCCTGCAGCCGTGGAAAGCACGGGACAGCGGGCTGGGAAGCACGTGGCTGCTGGTCTTCAGGCACAGGGACTTCCTCTGAGCAGACACACCTCGCTGCTCATGCTGTGGCAGTTTCATGTGTGATGTCAGCGTGGGGGTGCCGGACCAGCCCGGTGTGATCTGGGATGTGCACCGAGGCTGTTCCCACCCACTCCCCCACCTGCTGGCCCCAGTCTCTGAGGTGCCTCCAGGTAAGGAGCTGGTCTCCCAAAGCACCCTGTAAACACTAAGCCTTCCCAGAAGAACACAATGGTTCCCAACTGTGTTCTGGGGGAATGTCAGGGTTCCATGAGACCCCAGGAAAAACAAGCAAACAAAATGTTCTCTCCTGCAACATTTCTTAAGGCTTCAAACTCTTCTGTTTGATGAACCCATGAGGCTACAGGGCCTCTCAATCCTGCTGAAACACAGACTCCTTTCGGGATTGAATACATACCAAGTGCTCTTATTCTGAAGAATTCAGTTAGGGCAATCACAATCAGATAATGAGACATTAACTGATCACCTACTACGGATGAGGACCCCAGACATATGGGCCATGGGGCCCATGCATTTTTAGGGGCAGGAAACCAACTGAGCAAAAGTTCTAAAATGAATAAATGACCAGGGCAGGGCAAGGCAGCCCTGGTAGGACCCAGAGGCCAATATGGCGGTTGGGGTGCATACGGCGCGCACTGGAAGAGGTAAGTAAAGGCCTTCATCTTACTGCACCAGGCTATTGTCTCAGGCCTGTGTGCTATGTAGGCTTCTCTTTGCAATTTTAAAATAATTGTGGTATCTGGGTTACACAACAGTGAATTAAAGAATCTACTTTTATATTCTGGCAGATGGCTGGCCAGATTCACATTCACGGCCATCAGGAAAATCAAAGCCATTTCACCAGAACGAATGCCCCGTCTTTCCCTTTCTGTGGGGTTGCAGTGGCTGACGTGCCTGTTGTCAGCAGAATTTTTTTTAATTTATAATTTTATTTTATTTTATGGAAAACATAAGCAGGCGAGAAGGGCAGGGAGTAGGGGAGAGAGAAAGAGAGAGAATCTCAAGCAGGCTCCACGCTCAGCACAGAGCCTGATGTGGGGCTCGATCCCACAACTTTGGGATATGACCTGAGCTGCAATCAAGAGTCAGACACTACCCCAAGTCACCCAGGGGCCCCTCAACAGAATTCCTGAGTCAAGAGAACTGCAAGTTCTGTTTAGCAAATGCATCCAACGAGTTCTGGTTGGAAACCCAGCCACAGGTACAATGTCCTATGATATTATTTCAGGAAACTGCAGTAAGAAGCAGATTACCTTCGCTCTCTGGTTCTGGAACCACACCTGGACCACACGGACGCTCAGCCCTGTCTCCGCGGCCAGAGTCTCCCTCACCTTGAACATTAGAAATATAAAAACATTAGCATCTCAGAGGAGGGGCCGAACATTCCCCATGCGGTGCATGGGGAGGCCGGCCAGCTGTATCTCATATGGGTGCTGGCTGGGATTTCATGTCCAGCCTGACCCCAAACACAAGACCACTGGTCCCCTTTGTGTGGGGAGAGGTCCTTCACCAGGTGAACAAAGAGAGGAATAAATAATTTAGACGTGCATTCCAAGAGGCATTTCTCAGTTTCTCTTAATCTGGAAATCAGGCCTTCGGACCATTCTAGATCATTAGCAAAATCTCTTATTGTGCCGAGTCACATGCATGCATACAGGCTAACCTACTTAAGGTGGATGGAGGGTGAAAATCACTTTACAGAACAAATGTCTCTCTCTTGTTCTCCATCTGAATTCATCGACCTAAATGTTTGGTTTTCTCTCTCATAGCTCTGGGTGACTTTGAGTGATTCATGAATATTCACATTCCCTGTTACCCTGAGTGAGTCCTGCTCGAGGAAAATGAGACAGGAGTCATCTAGAATCTGTCAGAGCAAAGCAGTCAGCTCTGGTACGGCACATGCACCATGGCCTCGCAGAAAGGGGACAGTCAGGATCCCTCTAACGACGAGATGGGTTTAAAACCCGCCCTCCATGCAGGCAGGCGGTGAGGGACAGCAGGCCGGGAGGGAAGAGGCCTGCAACACAGCCTTCCCGAGAGGGAGTCCCCCTGCCCTCTTGCTTACATTCTGGGGCGGACACGGGGCTGAAGGCATAGCACGTGAGCACAGCTCCCTGGGGGCTTTGGGAAGGATGCCACCTTTCATCACACCACTTGGGCCGAGGCTTCCAAGAAGGGAGCTGATGAGACCAGATCTTTAAAACACATCCTTCTGCTAAGCCAACTCAGACAGCAGTGAGCCCCGGCCCCACCTCCACCTGCTGAAACCCTATCCATGTTTCAGAGGCCCGGTTTAGAAGGCCACCTGTTCCGCAAAGCCTTGCCTGATTCCCCAGACAGAAGAGACCTTTCCCTTCCCTGGGCTCCCACGGCTCCCGGCTGCCCCTCCGTCACGGTCCCCATCGCTTCCTCCCCGGTGTTAGTTACGTGTACGTGCGTCTCCTCCCCGCCGGGGGCCTACACCCTTCCCTGGGGACAAGCACTGGGCACAGGGCCATACAGAGGCGGGAGTCTAGTATATGGAGGATAAGTAATAAATGAGGGAGGTGATCATTGTCCTTGGACAAGCCTACTTGGGGGCTACTTGTCTCCTGCCAGCACCTCTCCTGAAGCCCAAGGAGCGGCAGGGACAGGGAAAGACAGAGGTCTGCAGGAACACGTTTCAAAGGTCAGAAGTGGTGGCAGATGATATTATTTAGCAGAGGGTCGCCCCCCCTCCTCTGCTCCCAATTGGTGGCCCTCCCCACACTGAGTTAGCCACGTGACCTGCGCTGGCCCACGGGATGTGCCGGAAACGGTCCGCGTGACCCAAGGACAGGCCTTCAGGGGGCCGGCCTGGTGTGACGTGGCTCCTGCCATCCTTCCGCTCCTTCGGCCCGGGCGGGGCCCCAGGGAGACAGCTGGAGAAGGACCTGAGCCCAGCTGGGTCGCAGCCAAGCCACAGTCGGGAGCAGGAAAGCCAGGTCCGCCAGGAGCCGCTGGGATTTTGTTTGTTACTACAGCAAAAGCTGACTAATACGGATAGGGACGTAGGGGTAACAATGCTAAATTTTCAAAAAATATATTTCCTCCATGAATTTCAATAAAAATGCTCTCCTATTTGTATTGCATAAGTAACATCATGGAGCATATGGCAGGCAGTCATTAAATGGCAGGTGCTTAATAAATGGGTGTGGCTATTTGTGGTAGAGACTGCTTCCTGTCTCCAATATCCATTCTCCCCTCCCTCCTATTAATAGCTGGATGCTAAGCTTTCGCAGGGCACGTAGTCACCCAAGTAGACTCATTTCCCAGCGCCACTTGCAAGAGATGCCATCGTGGGATTCAATTTTGGCTGCCATGGATGAGAGAAAGTGGTACAAAGAACCTTGGGGCACACCTTCGGAAGGCAAATGCTTGCCCTCCACCACCTCTTCCGCCATGGCTGCAGAGAAAGATGGTGATGGCAACCCCTTGGAATGTCTGATGGATGGGAAAGCTCCCTGCTGGTCTTGGGCTGCTCACCTCTGGGCTGTGACAGAAGATGGTAATGAATTCCTACCTCATGAAACCACAGACATTCACGGCAGCCCCATCTGTAACAGCCCCGAACCGGAAACAAGCCAAGCATCCGTGAACAGGTGACTGGACAAACCAACTGCGGCGTGTCCACACGGTGGGATACCATTCCGCAGTGGCAATGAATGAACCAAGACCCGGATGAATCTCCAAACCACCACTCCACGTGGAACAAACTAGCCCCAAAATAAATAAGTAAATGTATTGTACAAACCACTGTATTTTTACTGCCATTGTTATAGCCTCTGGGTTGATACCCCCAACTGGTACCTGTTACTACTCTTTCTGTTGCTCCCCATGAATTGAGCAAACAGACAAGCGAAATGGGAATATGCGCACACAGAAGTACAGGGAGACTCTACCATAGCCCTGGCCACAGCCATCAGTGCTCCGGAGTCTCCTGGAGGGCTCAAGGCTGCCTGCACAAACTCAATCTGAATGGCCTCCCCCACTGCCCTGACCCTCGAGTGGGCTCATCAACACTCCAGAGTGCAGGGTACACACAAACAAGGGGGCCCGGTCCCCTTTCCTCCCTTCCTCCCGCCACTCCCCACCTCGTACCTTCCTGCACGGCTTGGAGGACACTTCAAACGAGGCTTTGAATGCTCTCCTCTGTTGGGTTGTCAAGATGGTTCTAGGACGTTTGGGGCGCTTATGGTCCTTGCCGTCTTCAGCGGCTCCTTTCCCTGTGCCCTGCGCTGACTTGCAAAGACTTTCTTCATCATCACTTTTGCCTAAAAGCAGCAGAAAACAATGGGTTAAGTTCTTCGAAGCCACTTCCTGGAGCTGTGTGTTATTCTATAATGAGGCGCTTGGGTCCAACGTTCCCAGGATGGGTTTCTAGGTAAGTACAGTAACCTGTGTGGGGTTGACTCAAAAGGAAGGGGCTAAGGAATATACTTCTAGAATCCAAAGACAGCAGATCTTTGGAAAGTCCACCGTTTCAGCTCAGAACTTTCTCCCAGAATGCTTATCCTAGCTCCACATTTACTAGCTGTGTGACTTTGGGAAAATTACTGAACACTATCTGACTCAGTTTCCTTACCTACAAAATTGGGATGGAAGAGAACCTACTTCATTGGGCTGGAAGGACTGAATGAGGTTACCTACACAACACGCAAAATGAGACTTGGGGGCCCGTGGCTGGCTCACTCAGTAGAGCATGCGACTCTTAATCTTAGGGTTGTGAGTTTGAGCCCCATGTTGGGCACGGAGCCTACTTTAAAAAAAGCTGGAGCCTACTTTAAAAAAAGCTGTTTGGCATATAATACATGTCCAATAAGCACTAGTTATTATTTCTTAGATGTCCTTTTTGAGTCTAGACCTGGAGAAGTTTTGTATAACTTCCTAAATACTGTGTCTGAAATTCTAGCCACTGTCGGGAGACAGAAAATACTACTGCCCAAAAGGCCGTAGAGGACAGCGTTCGATGACTTGCAGGTACCAATAACTGAGAATGGACACAACACGGGGTAGTTAGTCAGAACTGCTCGTGTATCAAATAAATAACTATTAAAGTTAATTGTTTATATTTATGTGGATTACTTGATGAGCCGTGAGCAATACAAAGAATAACTTCTGAAGGAAGTAAAAGCCTTTGGTGCATGTCACATTCTGTCCCGGGTCACCTCCCACACCCCCACAGCCCTCACCCTCCTGAGAAGATGCTTCAGGGTCCGGGAAACACCCGTGTGAGGGAAGCGTTTTCCTTCTTTCTGCATTAAAAGCCACTGGCAGTTATGTGCTCACATCACGCAAACAAGAACCTCCTTTCTCTCTGGGTCCTCACAGAGCTCACCTGTCTTGTTTCCTCCAGCGGAAAGCTTTGTCCCAAGAGCTTCCCCAGCTATGGTCTCCTGACACTGCTCCCCTTTGGGACCGTCCCCCACCCCCCCAAAGGAGCTGCACGCGCTTGTTCATCCCACCCTCTTCTGTAAAGGACGCTCATCCACGTGCCATCTCAGTTTTGACTTCTGTGGAGTGTTCCATCCAGAAGGACAATGGCCTTTTCCCTCTCTGAACATTTAAGCATAAGGAGCACAAACCTGTGAGCACCTTGAGTGCAGGACCCTTTCAATGTCATTGGATGGCTCTGATGTAGGCACACCTGGGTCTCCATCCAGCTCAGCCCCCCAATGTAAGCGCAGCACTACCAGAGTGCTGACATGCACTGTGCCTCAGTTTCCCCACCTGCACCCCCACAGCAATAGCACTCAGCCGCGGGCGACTCAGGGACAGTGCGCCGTGGGCAAAGCAACTAATGTGGTCCTGGTGCACAGGAGGCTCGAAACCGATGTGGAAGGGATGCCCTTTCCTTTCTGCCTCACTGCCCTGGAGAGTGAGTACAGGGGAAAGCCCCAGAAAAGACTGAAGAAGAGAGAAAAGAAGAAGAAACCTCACGACAAGGAGTGGCTACTCCAGCATCCTCACCTGAGGTGGCTCCTCCTGGGGCAAATCCAATCAGTGGACCTCAGCCATCCCTCCATAGGAAGGGGTTTTAGGATCTTTCAAGATGTTCAGAATGGCAAGGAGAAAATAAGCACATAAGAACTAAAACCCACAGAGAAATAAGACCCCACAAGACAAGAGACTGTAGGAAAAAAAAGAAGCCACAGACTCCTCACATTCACCCTTCTAGAACTGCCATCCACAGCTCAGAGACCCCGCAAAGCTGGTCCTCCCAGGAGACCAACAGTCCTGTCTGCTGACCGACTCCTCGGGGTCAAGAGGGTGCTCTTCCAGTACGAGGGAGGATTTTGCGGAGTTTTCTTTGCAAACGGGCGGACATCCCCTGACTCCCAGGCTCATACAGATCTCCTCTAAGTCCAGGGACTAAAAGGGGCTGAGTCTGTAACAATCAACTGACACATCTAGGGTGTAGTGTGATTCACTACCTTGCACGCCCGAAGCTCCTAGAACACTGTATGCTAACTATACTGGAATCAAAAAAGAAAAGTTTAAATAATAAAAAAAGGAGTTGGAAAATATAAAACATTTTATCCCAGATAAAAAAAATCAAATGCAATTTTATAATTTAGAAAGCTCATGTCTGACACCCATTTTGTCCATAAAGCAGTATTTGCAAATGTCTTTTTTTTTATTATTTTAATGTTTTATATATTTTTGAGAGAAAGAGAGACAGCGTGAACAGGGGAGGATCAGAGAGAGAGGGAGACACAGAATCTGAAGCAGGCTCCAGGCTCGGAGCTGTCAGCACAGAGCCTGACGCGGGGCTCAAACCCACAAACCGTGAGATCATGACCTGAGCCGAAGTCAGATGCTTAACCGACTGAGCTACCCAAGTGCCCCTATTTGCAAATGTCTTCTGGACCCAGTCTGATTCTCCTAAAGCTGTTCCTCACACAGCCTGACGCAAATGTTTATTGATACCTTGGAAGACCTAAGTAATGAACAAGTAAGGTCTAAAGTCATGCTAGATTCCTTGATGATGGTTCATCTCTGCTGCCGTCATTCGGGAAAGCAACTTGGCATCGATACACACGGGCTTGGGAATCCAACAACTCAGGCTTAAACTTGGGCTCTCAAAGTTAGGATGTGTGATTTTGACCCAATCTCCCAAGGCTCCCTTTCCTCATTGGGGAAAGTGACAGTGTTTCTAGAGTTTTGAGAGACGATGCGTGTGAAGGGTTTGGCGCGGTCTAGCAGGTACCAGGTGCTTGGTGAGTCGTCACCACCATCACGATTGTTACTTCAACATAGAAGAAGTATCCTTGATCCGAGACACGTGTTTTCTGTTAATAACAGTTGCCTGTTGACGGGAGTCTGAGTTAAGGTTTTACAAAGCCAGCGTTCACTTCTGTCTTGGCAGACGTGACCCCAGCCAACGCTGAGTTGGCTTCGCAGAACGGGAGCGTGTGCTTGCGAGAAGGAAGGTGAAGGGAGGGAGAGGGCTTGGGCTGGTTCCAGAAGGCAGACGGTAACCACCGAGGTCTGTTCGGAGCCCCCGAGGCAGGACAGTGGAGGCTCCTGGTGTCGCCATCCTCTCCGCTCGTCTGGGACATGGACACCTTCCCCCAGGAGCGCTATTCCATCCTGGAACTATGGGGAGGGGGGAATGGAACTACCTCCCGGGCCAGGCCCCCGCTGCCCACTTGCGGAGGATGTGGAGAGCACTGTGTGGCTCATCATCGTCCCCACACCCCGGCAAGAGGAGAGATGAAAACATCTGTTTTCAGAAGAGGAAGGAGAAGGGGGCCAGGGCGATGGAGGAAGGGTGGGGGGGGGGGACAGAAAGAGGGAGATTAAGATTTGTTTCCAGGGTTTCTACTGCTTTTGTGGGTACGCGTCCACCCTATTTTATTCCTCCTTTCTGCTACTAATTTCTCTCTCTCTCTCTCTCTCTCCGTCCCCTGAGGTCCCACATCTTGCCTTCCAAGATGCTCTAGGCCAGGGGCCTACAAACTTTTTTTCTTTTTTTGGAGAAGGCCACAGAGTAAGTATTTCACTCTTCGAAGGCCTTAAAGTCTCCACTGCAGTGACTCAGCTTTGCCGCTGTAGTGCAAAAGCTCCCGACGACAGGAACAGGCGTGGCTGCGTTCCAGGCACCGGGCCGAGGAGGCCTGCAGGCCGCAGATCACTGGCCCCTCGTCCAGACCTCTCTTGACCTCCTGTTCTCCAGCAAAACTTACATATCCTACGTGCCAGGCTTTAAGGTTCTGACTCTGGGGACGGAGAGCAGAGCCAGGTGACACGGAGGAGTCAATGACTTGCAGAGTTTGGTGTGTTCTCCACACCTCCCCCCCCATCACCCTTATCGAAGACGTAGATGCACTGAACAGAAAATGCCTCCAACCCAAACCACTGTGGAATGTCAGGTGTCCTGGCAGATTGGAGCAAGGGGGATTCTGAAGACCGAGCACGGAGAGGCCTCTCGGCACCTCTCGAAGTGCCGACAGGTGCCACGACCCAGCTGCCACGGGGGACTCAGCCCATCGCTAACCATCCGCTCGCTTTCATCTGCTGTGTTGTAAATACTGCGGGCAGAACGGTGCCCTCTAACTCTCTTGGGGGAATTTCCAGGCTGCTCCTGGGATATTCACGGAGGAGGCTCCCCGCCTCCTGCAGCAAGGCCAGGCCTGTCCGACTCGGACCCCAACTTTTCCAGAAAACTATGCTACGCCTGAAACACACCCTTCACCAATCTGTCCGAGAGAAAGAGAAGTTCTAAGAGAGCCAGGAAGTTTCTCCCAGGCCCAGCAGGAGGGCCGGAGAGCAGAAGATGGGGAGAAGCCTTCACACAGCAGAGCCGGGGGAGGAGGGGCGGGAGCGGCCCCCTCTCTGTTGCCAGAGTCTCCCACACCCAGATGCAGGCCAGAGCGATCCCTCATAATTTAAGCTGACACCCCTCAGCGGAGATGAAAGGAACACTACTCGCTGTCTCCGACAACAAATGTCAGCATCGCTGGAGGCCATTTAGACGCAAACACAGCATAAATCTGACTCCTCGTGGGGAAGTCCAGAGATGAAGTCTCCAAGCACAGCCTCACAGAGTGAAATGAATTTGCTTGGCATAAAGTTTGAACATGTTTCTCAGGGTCTGTCTTTCCCTTTTCTCATTAAAAAAAAAAAAAAAAAAAAAAGAATCTGGAATGGTCCAGGGCTGTTGCTTCCCCCTGCCTGGCCCTCCCACTCGTTTATGACATAAGCAATCACAGATGAAAGCGCCAGCCGTGGTTTATGGCCCCGAGACGAGCTGCCCTACCTGTGGGGCCTC